TTAACCATAGATTAACCATTATATTAACCATTAGATTAACCATAGATTAACCATTATATTAACCATTAGATTAACCATAGATTAACCATAACCATTATATTAACCATAGATTAACCATTATATTAACCATAGATTAACCATAGATTTAACCATTATATTAACCATAGATTAACCATAGATTTAACCATTATATTAACCATAGATTAACCATAGATTTAACCATTATATTAACCATAGATTAACCATAGATTTAACCATTATATTAACCATAGATTAACCATTATATTAACCATTATATTAACCATAGATTAACCATAGATTTAACCATTATATTAACCATAGATTAACCATAGATTAACCATAGATTTAACCATTATATTAACCATAGAATAACCATAGATTTAACCATTATATTAACCATAGATTAACCATTATATTAACCATTAGATTAACCATTATATTAACCATTAGATTAACCATAGATTAACCATTATATTAACCATTAGATTAACCATAGATTAACCATAGATTAACCATTATATTAACCATTATATTAACCATAGATTAACCATAGATTAACCATTATATTAACCATAATTTTAACCATTATATTCACCATAGATTAACCATTATATTAACCATTAGATTAACCATAGATTAACCATTATATTAACCATTAGATTAACCATAGATTAACCATAACCATTATATTAACCATCATTTTAACCATTATATTAACCATAGATTAACCATAGATTTAACCATTATATTAACCATAGATTTAACCATTATATTAACCATAGATTAACCATAGATTTAACCATTATATTAACCATAGATTAACCATAGATTTAACCATTATATTAACCATAGAATAACCATAGATTTAACCATTATATTAACCATAGATTAACCATAGATTTAACCATTATATTAACCATAGATTAACCATAGATTTAACCATTATATTAACCATAGAATAACCATAGATTTAACCATTATATTAACCATAGATTAACCATTATATTAACCATAGATTAACCATTATATTAACCATAGATTAACTATAGATTTAACCATTATATTAACCATAGATTAACCATAGATTTAACCATTATATTAACCATAGATTAACCATAGATTTAACCATTATATTAACCATAGAATAACCATAGATTTAACCATTATATTAACCATAGATTAACCATAGAATTTAACCATTATATTAACCATAGATTAACCATAGATTTAACCATTATATTAACCATAGATTAACCATAGATTTAACCATTATATTAACCATAGATTAACCATAGATTTAACCATTATATTAACCATAGATTAACCATAGATTTAACCATTATATTAACCATAGAATAACCATAGATTTAACCATTATATTAACCATAGATTAACCATAGATTTAACCATTATATTAACCATAGATTAACCATAGATTTAACCATTATATTAACCATAGATTAACCATAGATTCAACCATTATATTAACCATAGATTAACCATAGATTTAACCATAGATTAACCATAGATTTAACCATTATATTAACCATAGATTAACCATAGATTTAACCATTATATTAACCATAGATTAACCATAGATTTAACCATTATATTAACCATAGATTAACCATAGATTTAACCATTATATTAACCATAGAATAACCATAGATTTAACCATTATATTAACCATAGATTAACCATAGATTTAACCATTATATTAACCATAGATTAACCATAGATTTAACCATTATATTAACCATAGATTAACCATAGATTTAACCATTATATTAACCATAGATTAACCATAGATTTAACCATTATATTCACCATAGATTAACCATAGATTTAACCATTATATTAACCATGATATTAACCATAGGTTAACCATTAGATTAACCATTATATTAACCATAGATTTAACCATAGATTAACCATAGATTAACCATTATATTAACCATAGATTTAACCATTATATTAACCATAGATTAACCATTATATTAACCATAGATTAACCATAGATTTAACCATAGATTAACCATTATATTAACCATAGATTAACCATAGATTAACCATTAGATTAACCATTATATTAACCATAGATTAACCATTATATTAACCATAGATTAACCATTATATTAACCATTATATTAATTAACCATATATTAACCATAGATTTAACCATAGATTAACCATTATATTAACCATTATATTAACCATAGATTAACCATTATATTAACCATAGATTAACCATTATATTCACCATAGATTAACCATTATATTAACCATATATTAACCATAGATTTAACCATAGATTAACCATTATATTAACCATTATATTAACCATAGATTTAACCATAGATTAACCATTATATTAACCATAGTATTAACCATAGATTTAACCATAGATTAACCATTATATTAACCATATATTAACCATAGATTTAACCATAGATTAACCATTATATTAACCATATATTAACCATAGATTTAACCATAGATTAACCATTATATTAACCATATATTAACCATAGATTTAACCATAGATTAACCATTATATTAACCATATATTAACCATTATATTAACCATTATATTAACCATTATATTAACCATTAGATTAACCATTATATTAACATAGATTAACCATTATATTAACCATAGATTTAACCATAGATTAACCATTATATTAACCATATATTAACCATTATATTAACCATAGATTAACCATTATATTAACCATTATATTAACCATAGATTAACCATTATATTAACCATAGATTAACCATTATATTAACCATTATATTAACCATAGATTAACCATTATTGTAACCATAGATTAACCATTATATTAACCATAGATTAACCATAGATTAACCATTAGATTAACCATAGATTAACCATTATATTAACCATAGATTAACCATTATATTAACCATTAGATTAACCATAGATTAACCATATATTAACCATTAGATTAACCATTATATTAACCATTAGATTAACCATAGATTAACCATTATATTAACCATTAGATTAACCATAGATTAACCATAGATTAACCATTATATTAACCATTAGATTAACCATAGATTAACCATAGATTAACCATTATATTAACCATAGATTAACCATTATATTAACCATAGATTAACCATAGATTTAACCATTATATTAACCATATATTAACCATAGATTTAACCATAGATTAACCATTATATTAACCATAGATTAACCATTATATTAACCATTATATTAACCATATATTAACCATAGATTTAACCATAGATTAACCATTATATTAACCATAGATTAACCATTATATTAACCATTATATTAACCATATATTAACCATAGATTTAACCATAGATTAACCATTATATTAACCATAGGTTAACCATTATATTAACCATAGATTAACCATTATATTAACCATTATATTAACCATATATTAACCATAGATTTAACCATAGATTAACCTGCGAACACGCCCACACCAACGGGCGCAGCTGCTTTTGCTCGCAAAGAGTCTCGCGGTAAGCGGAGCTACGTTCGCTACTCCTAGCCAACCAAGTCGCGCAACCCTTGTGGCGCAGCTTGAGCCAAAAACAGAAGTGAAACTACTGTACAACATGCAACACGAAAAACTACGGGGCAGACCTAAGCTACATCTAATGGCATACTACACTCGCCCCTCAGCTTAGGCTGCCCGCGCTGATGCCGCGAATCGCGGGCACCAGCCGCGAGGCAGGGCACGTCCCTCGCCTCTTTTACGCCGCGCCTTCGTGATCTTCGATCGTGATCCCTCCTTCATAGATTTCCTCGAAGGCACGCAGCCACTTCTTGGCTGTTTCACTCTCCTGAGAGACCTCTAGCGCCACTCCAGCCTCGTAGTTGGCCTTTGATGAGGTCGTAAGATTGCAGCTCCCCACGACCAACTGAACCGGAGAGCGTCGGTCCTCCCGGTCGGTCTGCACATACGCAGACTTCCCGTGCTGTAGGCCGCGCAGTTTGCGCCCCAGCCTCACGGACCTATCGTCCCTCTCATAGGCCTGACTGACATTGAGTCCTTCTGTCAGCCGGACTCGCACACCAGACGATCTCAGCTCTTTCAGCATCTGGAGCTGCGTCTTAGTCTTTCCAGCGGCTTGCGAGCGATCTGCGACGACCATAGTCAAGCAACCCCTCTCGGTTGCTTGTTTCAGGCTATTGATCACATCTGGCTGATCAAAAGAGTAAGCCCGAACCAGCACGCGGCCGCCCTTTCCTACGGACTCCAAGACTTGGACGAGCCAGTCAAAGGTTTCAGCGTCACGTAGGAACTTGACCCTGCATCGGTCCATCTCATCGCTCTCGGCCTTATCCTTCAAGGCCCTAGGTCGGGGAATGCCAACTGATCCAGATTCAGGAGCTGTCGTTGGCTCATCCACGTTGCTTCCTCGACCGCTGTCCAGACTCAGGGACTCCTTGATGACCTTTCTTTTGAAGTCTTGGGCGTCCTCAATTGCGTTTGTCTGCAAAGGAGCTTCTGTGCCCTTCAGGGTCTTCGCCTTTTCCACAAGCCCTTGGAAACAGCTCCCCAAGCCGAGACCCAGTTCAAGCCCCGTCATGGACCTCCTTGGCTGATTCTCACTTCCGCCCATTGCTGCGATGCCACGAGCAGCAGCACTCGAGGATGACCTGGTGCCGACCATCTTCCGATGGGCCGCTACTGCGGACGCCACATGGTCGCACGTTCCAGAGGCCAAGTATTGGCGGCAAGCGCAACCAGAACTGTTGCCGCTGACTCGGACTCTATGATCTTTCTTCGTTCCTCTCACTTGCCAGGTCGAAGAGGTACCATCGAAGCTCAGCAGCCGGGGTTCCATAGAGTTGCCATTGGTCATATGGACCCAGGCATTTGCCATTTTTCGAGATACCCACCAACATGCCAAAACGGCAAGCACGACCTTTCCGATCCTAAAACCAGTCTCAACGAAGGATGCTATCCACCTTCTGCGATCACCACTTGGAACGCTTCTGAGCTGGTCTCCACAATCTCCTCTATCTCAATCTGAACTTTTCGCACAACCGGGGCCAAAAAGGCGGCTATGACCAACCCCAGCTTGTTGGCCGATAGCCCATTGCCGTTGTCCGCATGGGCCCTCTTGTTGCGGACTTTTCGCGACACAGACCAACCAGAGCGGCGGCGCTTCTTGGTCGATCTCTTCCTCCTGGTCGCGCGAGGGCTGCGAAACGCAAGCCCCGCCGCTGACCCAGCAGACCCGGCCCTTTCCCTTTTCTTATGGCCCTCGCTCTTGTGGCGCCTCCCGGCTCGCTTGCGGTGGCCGCGGAGTTTGAGCGCCTTCTTCTGAGCCAGAAACTCTTCGTTGGCCTTCCTCACGACCTCCGATTCCTGGCGAACTTCCTCCTCTGAGGAGTCCTGCTGAGAAGGACGGGGATAGCTGCATTTGTAGCACTTAAACCTGAAGGACAGGTTCCCTTTTCCGCAGTGATCACAGTCCCATGACTTCTCCTTAAGGATCTGTTCGATCTTTGTTACCCCCGCTTCTCTCTTGGCTTTTCTTTTCTCTGCGGCAGGCAATGCGGACTGAGCGGGGCGAGCCGACGCAAGACGCCGGCAGTCGCGGTCGTATGTGCCAGTGCACTGCGACCCGCTGACCCAACCGACGCATTCATTAGCATCGGGAGGACTAACTGTCCCGCAGAGCCTGCAGACCCAACTTCCTGCCTTGTAGGTGAGTTCACCTAATCCATCATCTGTATTCCACGCGGCCCCGACTGCTAACCTTGGAGCCACGGCAGCCGGTGCGGCCAGCCTGCGCTGGGCATCTCCCAGCTGGACTCCCTTCCGGTGGTCCTTTGCTCGGAGCCGCGACCTCAACTGCTTCTTGAGTTTCCGGACCGGTTCTTCGGCCCGAAGTCCCGCGGCAAACCGGCTGTCGGCGTTAGGCACGGGTGCGCGCGTTGGGCCCGAAGCTCTTGCCGCCGCAAGCCGCGCACTGGTTTCGGCAGAAGCCTCGGCAACGTCCCGGCCATAGTCTTGCGCCTCACCGGCTGCCTCATCTCTGCCTGATCTTTTGCGCACGGCCGCAGACACCGTCGCGCTACCGGCTATCACACGGAGGCGGCGTTGGAGCTCATCTTCTCCGCCCGCTGTCGGACGCTCCTGCTGCTTTTCGACCAGACTGGTCAGTCCCCCGGCACTCCCATACTGGTAGGTCAGCTCTGAAGTAGCTGCAGCAGCCAGAGTCGTCTCTATGAGCCGTTGGCCCGGATGCCGTCGGGGCTCGGCCCACACTTCGCGGAGCTCTTCAGCCGTCATCTCCCCGCGCAGTTTATTCGCGGGTGTCTCATCCTTGTTCTCTGGGAGGATTCCGCGGCCAGATCGCGGAAACGCAGACCCGGCCCGCGGCAGGTCCTCCTCGCGGCCAGGTCGCGAAAACGCCGACCCGGCCCGCGATGGCTCTTCTTCGACTTCGATTTCTTCCATAGAGCTACTGCTTGGGGCGGCCTCCTTTTTTGCGCCACTCTCCGGAGAGGCGACTTCCTTCTTTGCACTGGCAGGGGGCTCTTCTTCCACGGTGATCTCCTCATCAGTGCTACTGCTGGACGATGAAGTAGAATCCTCCTCTCCTGAGGAGGCTGACTCTTCTTCCTTCACCGCCGTCGAGGTCTCCTGCTTTACTTCACAAGCAGATGACGACGCGGCCCCTTCTCCATCCACTGGAGCGCTCCGCGCAGGACCACGTATGACCCTGATCGACAAGCTCGATTCAGAATCACTTGTGGGCAGCTCCTGCAGGCGTGAACCCACGATCTCGTGTCCAGAGAACCTCGCCCTCCTTTCCTAGCGCACTGTCAAAGACACTAATGCGGAGGATACACTACTTTGGCACATCATCGGTCAGGACGACGTTGTCACCACCGAGCCGCATTCCGATTCGGTGCGCTCGTAACGTCCCCACTGTGGTTATGGCAGCGGCGTCTGTGCCGCTCCTGACCCCTGACTTTTGCCCTTCCTTGCCGATTGCATTTGCCGCCCAGTGACAGAACAGCCTGTTGACCGTCATGTCTCCACCTCCGCCTGCCTTCAGGCCATCATAGCCGATCAGGACCACCCGATCCCGGAACGTCCCATGGACGAGAACGGTGTCGTCGCCAAACGGCAGATCCTGATCGTCTATGAAGTCTTCGCGGGTAAGCCCGCTGTCAGTGGAATGTCCTTGGCCGGCACGGATGAACTTCCCATCTCTGCTCAGCTCTGCGCGCCGTTTCTTCCGGCCATCGCCTTCCACCCAGGTCACCAGGTCGACGATGTCCTTTTCTTGGACTCCAAAAGCCCTTGCAACTTCACTGACTTCCACCCAGCCATCCTGCTGGAGTTTGCCTCGCAACTTGTGGCCGCCGTACTTCGATCGGCAGCTCCCGTGCCGCAGGGCCTTGACCATGAGGAACTCCAAGTCATCCCAGTTGTGGCGGGGATCTCTCTGGGCTTGCTTTCCCTTATTTCCCCAGCCTTTGTTGCGGCGGCCGCCCCCGCCGCCCATAGTCCGAAGCACGCGGACAGGTCGCGAAACGCAGACCCGTCCCGCGAAGATAGCAAAGGTCCTTATGTCCTTGCTCGCGCTTCTAGCCGCAAAAGCCTGAACGCACCGACCCAGCCAAAACCCGGCCGCGCGTCCAAAGCCAAACGGCTGCGGAAAACAACCCCATATTAACCAAGTAAGGGGGGACCTAATGCTACCCATGCTACATGTAGAGGAAACCCCTTTACCCCAGTGGTTAGAACCCTTCTCCCGCATCCTAGAGTGAAACACCCCTTCGGACCGCGGGCGAGTCGGGTGGTTGTGATCCGACTCTTTTTCATCGTGCTTCGACTTGGCGACACTCAGCCCGTCCGGGCTCACACCTAGAGCTTCCAAGGCTTCTGGGGCCGGCTGGCCGACCACGACTGGCGTTCGCTTCATGGCTTCCTTGATTTCGGCATCGTGTTCTTCATCAGACATCATAACTCCGTCAACAACCCTACCTGTCCTAACCGTAAGGTCGTCAACGTAAGCAATCCATTCCTTTGCGAACCGTTGTTTCCGGCCCCGACCTGGCTCATAAGCCCTGTCCACAACGTAGCAGAAATCATCCGGCCCATTGATGGGTCCGAACGTCAGGCACACGGGCAGAAACTTGCCTGACCGGGCCACGATGGCCAGGACTTCCATGGCCCTTCGAGTGTTCTCTATTTGGTTGAAACCGGTCACCGCGTCCACAAAAGAGAAGAATATAGATCCGCTACACTGAGCCAAAACATCCGTAGCCTTTCTGCAGTAGTACGTGGATCTCTTGACTCTCGCATTGACCTTCCGGTAATCAACCACCAGCCGCCGCTTGCGGGACTTCTTGTGAGCGGGTGCTTCCTTAGTAGGAAAAGGAGGCGATCCCCAAGGACTCGCCCCTCTGATCAGCTGTCCCCGCTGCATGAACTTCTTCTTCAAGCCGCTCGTCGACCCACGCAGCACTCTCTCCCTTCAGCGAGTGCGGTTGAAGACTCACGGGGGGTCCTGTTGGAACACAATCATGGGCAACACCACGCACAGTAGTGCGAGGGCTACCTTCCAACCAAAACCCAGCGGCTTTCCGTAGCAAGACTTCCCTGCAAGCTGCGATATCATCCGCATTGAAATCGGGATGTTTCGAGAGAACATTTTCTCCAAATCCTAGCCCTTCAACGACTGCTTTCCTGTAGGACTCCTCCCTACGAGGATCCTTGTCGACCTTTTCCCCACTCAGCCGATAGACCGACAGGTCAGACTTGACCTCGTCCCACTGCTCCGCCTTTGCTCGACCATCCCACAAATGAGCCATGCGGGAAGATAGGTCGACTAACTCCTCCTCGATTGCCTCTCTTTCACTGGTCGTCAGCTCACTGCTGACGTTCACATCGGGATCGGGGATCTGGACATCAACCAGGCCACCATCCGCCCGCTTCTCTGCGACCGAATCAGGAAAACCTTGACTCGATCCGCTAGAGGAAGCGAACACTAGGCCGCTTCCAGCTGAAGCTGCTAGGGCACCCTTTAGTGCCACTTCGGCAGAACTCCAGTAAGCATCACAAAAAACGCTCGGGCGAACAACTTCCTTATCCCCTGCGCCTGCCCAGTGCCCCTTCCTATCATCAGAGCGGACCTCGGAAGAACCACGGGTTGCACGGTGCGGATGCACAGTCGGGGCTAGAGAATCTGGTCGACGGCAACGCAGGCTGCACGACGAAAGGTCCATGTTTGACAACCATAATTCTCCGTCTTCCGCTACCCAACCATACTGGCACGCGTCGGTCCGGATTCCCGACCATGGGCGTCTTGGCTCTGAGAGGCTCCCGCAAAGCTCCACGAGCTCCTTTCCGCGGAAGATAGCGCTCCCGACAGGACCTTCCAGCGACCCAAAACGACCCTTCCTTTCCTGCTCCTTCAACACAGAGACAGCGTGGCGCAGTATGGCCTGATCTGAATCTGAGAAACACCCCTTTCCTGACCGATCATGAAGTCCAGAAGGCAATCCCAAATGGACAACCCCAGGCTCAAGCCACTGAACCAGGAGGTCGACAAGGCAGCGATCTTCTTCTCTGGCCAAATCCCATCGGCGCCCGTAAGAAAACCCATTCTGCCCCAAAGGCGGCGCCGCTAAGAACCCTGCTCGACGCGCAGCCGCAGAGAGTCCTTTGTGGTCAACATGAATTTCTAAAAACACGACCTTGCGAGCTTTGTGACTCTCAAGCCAGCTCCTCAATCGTGAAGCTTCCTGGTCCAAAATTGGGAACATAGGGACCGGAACACCCTCGGCCTCAAACAGCTCGGCCAGAAGCACACCCAGCTGATTCCACTGGTCAGTCGTCCCCGGCTCTTGAACCAAGGAGGCTACCCGCTCTTCGAAAAGGCGGTAGCCAGCCTTGTCCAATTTGCGGCTTGTGCTGGCTGCGAGGACTCCGTCCCTTGATATATCTGCCTTCGTGACCACCTCCTTGAGTTTGATTCTTTCGATCACGGGCCTAGTTCCGTTCTCCTCCACGGCTCCTTCTTCGTTTAAAAACGCCAAAACCCACTTGACCCTGAATGACCCAGTGACAGGGCGGTACTTGTGAACCCCAATCATGCCCTCATCAACTGAAACTTGCGTCACTCGGCCAAAATGGCAAACCTTGTGCCCCTTCGTGTAAGCCACCACGTCACCAATTCTGAGCACAAATTCTCGGCCACGGCGCTGCATGACGAATTCCCTTGGTTCGCCTTCGCCCTTCAGACGTTGCCCTAAGGACGGCGCTTCGTCAGGCGGGCCGTCATCCAACAAAACTTCAGCTTGGGGATTAGGACCCTCCGCGTCCACATCGGCAGGAACCAAAACACAATCTTCTGCATGGGCTTCGACTGAACGGTGCGAGGGATCTTGAACGGAGCGGAGAACAAGGCGATTTCCCCTAACTTCCGTGATCTCCCATGGCCCGGTCAGACCTCTTTTCCAAGGGACTCGCCCCGCCCCCTCTGGCCGTGCCAGGGGTGATTGCCAAACCACACGGTCGCCAATGTGAAGATCAAGGCTTCTCCGGAAACGGTTGGCGAGCTTGGCTCTGGCAGCTGAGGCGTTTTCCCAGTGCCTTTTGATCTTCGTACTCAACTTGGCAAAAGTCTCAAATTGTTTCCTTGCCCATTCGCTCACTGGTTCAAACTGCAGACTTTCACGGATAAGGTCCTTTTCCAAATCCAAACTGAGAGACCATGATCTTTCAAGGTCCCTGGGCGTATAACCATGCGCCCCCGGACTGTTATCCAGAATGTACTCCACAAGAGGGAGAAGCTCCGACCATTCGTCTGTCTCCCCTCGCACCACCTCCTTGATGATGATGTGGAGCGTCTTCTGCACCTCCTGATGCATACGTTCATTGGAGCCCGTTTCGCAGGGTCGCATGCTCATAGCAAACTTCTGCTTGGAACCAAGACCCATAAGAGCGCAAAATTCTGCCATCATCGCATTCTTAAATTCAGGCCCTCTGTCACTACGAACCAACGTCGGAACCGTTCGCGCCCGAAAGATGCAGCGAGCGAAGGCTCTCCTGACCTCCGCGTGCGTGAGAGACCGCAACGGTTCAATCTGCACCGCGTGAGACAGGCAATCCAAGTAGGTGAGGGTGTACCTGAAACCCCACCGATCTTCCCTGTTCGGTCCTTCACAATCGACCGAGACTTCCTGCCAACACGCGTCCGCCAGGCATCTAGACGCCTGCGCAGTAACCTTCGTCGGTCTCCCTCGCGCCTTCAAGCAGATAATGCACCTTTCTGTCCATTTTTGAATGTCTTGTTTCATTCCCGGCCACCAAACTCTGCGGCTAAGAAGATTCCATGTACGATCGGCCGACCGGTGGCCCCCAATCGCTCCGCTGTGGGCCTGATCGAAACACGATCTACGCCAGGTCAGCCCGTGCGATGTCACAAATCCGATTGGGACCACACAAGCCCAGACCTTTTCTCCTGTTTCCAAGATGACAGACCTTTCCAAAAGTCCGTCCGACGCGACTCGGAACGGGTCTCCTGGCCGTCGGAAGTGACCTGCCAGAGACGCGTCCTTCTTTTGCGCATCATACCAGAGACTTCGAAGCGAACCGGTCACTTCGAATTCTGCGATCCCGGCCCCGGCCCTTGCTTCTAGGGCTAGCTCCTCCCTGGACGGGATCACTTCTTGCTCTCCCAGAGCACCAACTTGCACGTCCTCCGCACCAGCCCACTGAGGGAGGATCCAGAACTTGGACCTCATATGAAGAATCAGCCTCCAATTCCAAGACCTTCCAAGGAACGCGATAGTAGGTTTTGGACCTGACTCATTGACCTTGATTTTGCGTCCCAAGGTAATTGGAAGCCAATATCCGCCCCCAGTTTGTAGCTGGAACGCCACAAGCACCCTTTTTCCGGCCAAATCTCTTCGGTGACCGATGGAATCCGTCCCGTTCCCATCGTCCCACTTGGCCACTCCCGTTGGTGCCCCGAGCAATGATATCAACCGTTGGAAGTCATCCTTCCAATCCAACTTTGGCGTCGCCGCGCCCCACAGCCGCGTACAAACGCCAAAGACAAGCTTGAGATGATTGTGCCAATTGACTTCGTGGAGCTCCCACGCAGGAGAAATTGATTCCAAACGGCCGATCTCAGCGCAATTATGAACCGTTGTGACGGAAGCGTCCGGGTTCACACACCACGTGATCCCATACTGGCACGCCTTTCGTTCAGCGGGGAGAACTGGCAAGGTGAACTCCTGCCCCGCATTCCACTTCTTTCCCGCGACTACTCCTAGTCCGCGAGGAAGCTCGACGAAGCCTTCGGAACCGTTGGACGCAAACCACCCGGCCGCCCATTTCCGGATTAAACTGACATGGACAATACAACTTCTCAGCTCATCACTAGAGCATGGAGCGGAGGCGATCGCCAGAAGATCCTCCGCAACCAGCTCTTCTTCGGCTTCTTTCTCCTCTGTAGGATTTTCCCTCTCTTCAGCAGCAGCAGCAAATTCCTCTGCGGCTTCCTTTTCGATGCAAGTGACGCACCGGCTGAAGACGTACGCTCGCTTTCCACAAGCACAACGCCCTTCGTGTTCCCATACTTCGCGGCCAGGTTCACGGGCCAGACTAGCTAGAGGAGGCTCTGCCAGGCCCTTGATCAAGCCAAGCTGAAGAATCTCGGCCACTTGCCTGACTTCTTCCTCCTTCGGAATCCTCGTGACGATTCCATACCCGCGCACCAGCGGCATAGGGAATTCTCGTTTGACTTTGGGCAGGAGCTGGCCAGCAACTCCGGGCTAGGCTTCACCTTCCACATTCGCGGGTTCACTGACCACACAGCCTTCAGCCCTGCCCAACCGGACACTACTTTCTTGATCTCCTCCCGTTGCAGATTTCTTGCCTGCAGAGTCACCTCGACCATGAGAGGGAATCGCAGTAAGCCCACAATGAGGCCTCCTTGCCCCATGCCAACCACAAAATCCGGCAGATGATAACCAATACTTCGAAGCACGGTCGCGCATGAGGTCAGCATGTCGACACGAGCGCGCTTCACCTGACGCTCACCTTTCAGCGCCGCAGTAGCACCGTCTAAGTGAGACCCGTTGCCGTCATCATCTTCAAATGCCCCGTAGACTGCATGGGTCGAAACCTTCCAGCCAGGCATGGACCGAGAGATCCCTTCCTGGACCTGACTGATCTGGAGGACATTATCACTCTGATTGGCATAGTCGGCCACGAAAAGAACCTTCAAGTGGTTTCCCAAAGACCCCTCGGCAACCCCATCTCTAGTCGCGCGGTGCTCCGAACCGGAAACACCGCCGCTGACCACCGCTGCGGAGTTCTCGCCATCAGAAGGGCCATTGGCCGGCAGCACATCATCGCCTACAGCCCAAGCCACTGGAACCGTTGGATCTTCCGTGCCTCCTCCCAAATATTCTTCCAGATTGAATCCCCTGAGATGACCAGAAAGCCCTTGCAGGTCCCGCGTCCTTCCTTGAAGCAATTCATCCCGATCCTTCGGATTTCTCGAGAATCCGTCCCCTAACTTGGCACTTCTCCCGCTCAAGGATCGGATCTCAGACCCATCCGCCAGGATCTCAGCCACCCACCTCACGAGCTTCACATCCGAGCCTATCTCGATGTGCTGAGAACGCGTGAGATTGGCGTGATCTGTCCAGCACAGTGTCCTAACTGAACCGAACGTTTTGCGGGTCGCCCTTTTCACTTCCAGTTGGGCGTAAGCTTCCTGCACCAAGGGCGGCCAAGCCTGCTGGGGCGCCGTAAGGCTCCGCGAATGCGTAAGCAAGATTTTCATTCTGCTGAAATCGCGCGTCATCTGAAGAACTGTCCCCCCGACCGCGATCCCAGACGCGTCGGCGATCTGCTCCAAAGGACAAAGACCAGCAATGGCGCCAGCTTCGTCGAAAATCGACAGTTCGATTGCCTTGGACATCATCTGCTTGATGGCCTTGACAGCGCGGCACCCTTCGGTATCGGCGCTGCCCAAACCACCCTCTGGAAATGGCGCTCCAGGTTTCTGATACTTGGAGAGCACCTTGGCGCAGTGCCCAAATTCTGCCGGCAGATACGTCCGCAGCCAGTTTGTACATCCCAAAAATTGTTGGATGTGGAGCTTCTCCTTCAACGGCGCGAAGTCTCTGACAGCCTGGGACTGCTCCGGATCCGGAGCAGTCCCGTGCCTGCCCACCAAATGGCCAAGCAGCTTGCCGCCCGTGCTGCAGAGCTCTGCTTTGGCCACGCCGTAACTGAAACCGAAGATGATGCTTTTGTCTAAAAAGGCTTCTAAAGAAACCAAGTGGTCAAGGAGAAAGCGGTTCGCCTCCGGATACCGCCTGCTCAGTGATTTCCGCAGTTCTCCATAATAGAAGTCCGTCGGAGTGGATTCGGCCATTTTCTCGATTCCTCCCGGCACCTCGACTATGTGACAGATGGGCTCGGTAATAGTCGATCTCCAGGAAGTCTCATCCCCTTTGGAAGACTTGTCGAAGAAACGAGTCTCTCCGACCCACTGGCGCCCTTTGAAAACCCAAGGATCGCTCGATCTCGTATCTTCCCATTTTAGTGGTTCCCCGGTCAGAAACTGACCGACAGTCACGCGTCGCTGCCCGACCGCTGTGACTTCACCTGGAAAATCAGTGCTCGAAATCTGGAAAAGCTCCTCACGAGGCCTTTCGTGAACTCGCACCCATCCACCAGGGAAAGTCGCCCAGTGATCCGACTTTTCTTCGCGGCCATCACGAGCCACGTAAGCGAAGTTGCTTGGTGCTCCCGTAGCGAGCGAAATCAATCCCACCATGGTAGCCAGGAGCCCATAGCCTCGAGCTTTACTTCCTTGAGAAGCACGTTCTCGGGGCCTTCGGCCGCAACGGCAGCCCTGCAGGCGGTGAACTTCTTTCGTCTTTTCGACTCCACATGCATAGCATTTCCGATTTTCCACCTCCATCCGGGGTCCTCCGCAGTCCTTGCATCTCGCTTTCGACGGCGGACCCGCTGATTGAAATACGGTGTCGACAGCCCCGCATTCACAAAGAGTGGACGCGGCCAAGCCGCTCCTCAACTCAGCCACTGGGTCACCCTTTTCCAACACGGCTTCGTCGTGCCGCGGGGTCACCAGCACCATGCCCTCTCGGCCACCAGTGTTCCACAAACCAGGAACAACTTCGATCTTTCCTTCAATCGGCAAAACCGCCTCGCACTCTGAAGCTTCCGGAATCCACTTTCCTTGAACTTGAACCGGCACAAGGGCACCTTCCCCAGGCAGCAGCTGCACTGGTTCCTCACCTGAAAAGACGACCGCCGCCTTCCTGCCAGTACATGGTTCGCAAAAATCCTCGGCACCGGCTTCTACGCCCGATACTACTGAGCGAAAAACGTAAGCCCTATCCTTCCTTTCGGATGACGCGTCTTCACACCTCGGGATCTGGACGCCCAGGGTGTCCAAGATATGCGCCTGTGGTCCAGGCCTGAAACCGAGCCCGCGACGCGCCTCGCAGTCGAGGGCGCGCCCGCCGAGAATCAACCCGTGCCAATCGCTGGTTCCCTTGGCAGCGATCTTGCAACGGACGTAGAGTTCATGACCGTCCACGCACCGATCTGTATCAGGGCCTTCTTGCAGCCGTACTTTCAGCACCACAGACCCCTTGAGCGGGACTGGGGAGCCGCTCGCAATTCCGTGGACGAACTCCGGATAAACCCATTGTTCAAACTGGACGATCGGGAATCCCTTGTCGCCAGGTTTCAATCCAAGCGCCGCCGCTCTATTGAGGATGCTGACGACCAACTCCTCAGTGACATGGTTGGATCCAGCCCCTCCGTCCAGCAGCGTCTCTACCATTTTGTCCAACACCTTGGTAACAGTCTTATACTGATATCCACCTCGTTCATTCTCCACAACCTTCCACCAATCCTTCGGCAATTGGTCAAGGCTAGTGAACACATCAGCTTTGGACTTGGGATTTTGCTCCGGCCGCGTCGCTGCCGCGAGAACAGCAGCAGCGACCGCAGGCTTTGGCGCAGGGTCGTTTGGCCCGCAAGTCACTACAGTGAAAGCTGCGAAAGGGTTAGCTAATCCTGCCCCACTTGGCGCGCTCCATCCCGATGGCAAACTGTTATTGCTTCGCCGACGCCCCAGCGGACGTAGACGTCGGGAGCGAATGGGACATGTCACACGCATCCCCTTTCTTGCAGGCTCCATTCTTGGCAAAGAAAGGGCAGGGTTTCTCACTTTTCCCTGGCTTCGGTGCTTTCCCTTTCGAGTCTCCCTTGCCCCCTCCTTTGCTCTTCCCTTTGCCTTTGCCCGTGCCTTTTGCCGGATACGCATCCTGACTGCCCTTACCTTTTCCTTTCTGTTCCAGCGCCTTCTTGCGGAGTTCCTTATCGTGCGAGAAAGGACACTCCCGGCCCTTTCTGCAAGATCCGTGGTCCCGAAAATCCCAACAGAGCCTTTCCTTTCGAGGATCCCCCGCGGTGACTCCAACCGGGGTGGGCTTTGCCTTCGCCTTTGGTTTGGGACCCTGGCCCTGAGGATTAGCGTTCGGCCGAGGATCTGGGTTCTGAGCGCTTGCGCTTGGAGCGGCCGCATACACGGCATTGGCGGTGGCGCGATTGGTGGCTTCACGTTGCTCAATCTCAAGGACCACCCTGCGCGCCTCTTCCCATGTCTGTGCACCGCGCATTCGATCTTCCTCGCCCCAAATCCTCTTATCAGCTCTGATTTCCTTCTGAAGCGACGGCGGCATCTTCCGAAGGTAGCTGAGGAAGAGTTCTCTAGGAGTCTTCCCCAACCCGACAGCCTCAAGCTCCGCAACCGACGCTTCAAAGACAGGCTCGAACTGATGCCCGGTGAGGCGACCCTTCATCAGCGCCGCGTGCTCAGCATCAATCCTGATCTCGCGCTCTTCCCGGCTCTCACTGAACATCAGATGTTTGGCCTTGATCTTTTCATAGACCGAGCCTGGGTCGCTGAGAACCTCACCGGCCTTCCATGCCGCCTTGTACATATTCTGATATGTCTTGAGGCGTGAACCGCGGCAACGAGCCCTTAACGCCAGAAGCATTTCTCTATGGCCCATGCCGCGGCAAGAGTTTGCCAGACCACAGACATCTTCAAATTCTTCGTAAAACTGAGACACGTCCCGGGAGTCAGCTCTTTCATCTCCCAAGGTGGGCCAATGCAAGTCAGTTTTCACCGAAGTGATTGACGTGTCCTTCCCTCGGCCCGCGAGCGCTTCCTTGAGAACCTTGGTTTGTTCCTCAAGCGCCGCGGCCAGGGTCTGTTCCTGCCCGCTCGCCATCGAGGCTGCGTCAGACCCTGCCTTTTCTTGTCTTAAGGCTTCCAATTCCATTTCCAAAGCCGCCAATCTGGCCTGCATCGGCGAATCTCCGTTTCCTTTTGGTCGCCCCGGCACTCTCACCTTTGATGACGGAGCAGAGCCCGTCCCCTTTCTGCTTGCTCCAGCACTTTTCTGATCATCCGAAGGTGTGCTGAAGAGCTTGTCGGGGCTACTGCTCAACCGTCCTCCGAGCCTTTCAATGATCTCGCCGATGGCTTGGACTGAAAGTTCTCTTTCCGTTGCGTCGAGCTTCTCGTCTTGAACGGTTGCTACGAACTTGTCCCTTAAGAACTTCACCCCCTTGCCTCGGCTCAGCTCTCCAAATTCTGCGTACAACTCAATCACCAGCTCCGCCTTTCTGGTGACCTTTTCCAGCATACCCGCTGGGATCTGAGCATCAAGACTGTTCAGCGCATTAATCACTCTCCCCATCCTCATGAGATATGCGCCGAAGTCCTCAGCTGTAGGGTCGTAAAGCGCATCCAATTTGCCCCTGAGGCTCACCACGCTGGCACCTCCGCCTGATCCTGCAGAGGAAGGACGAGGACTGGCCCCCCGGCCCCCTTCGACCGATCCAGGGGCGGATTCCGGAGAGTACGGCTCAGAGGGAGATACACCTCTGATAGCCAGCGCCTGCTCCCCTTCATCCTCCGAAGCCAACTCGTCGGCCCTCCCTTCTCCATAGAGGGCGGCCATGACCTCTCTCCAAAGGGCCACTTCGTCTCGCGTCCGGATGCCTCTTCCATCCCTCGCGACTGTAGGACGACGTCCCTCGTCTCGCCGCCAGGCCTGCCACTGCGGGAAAGACAACTCCCCTGGCGTCGGCACCCGACCTGCGTTGATCGCCTCCAACAGCGTGACCCCTTCAGCCTCGCCAGACACTTGAGTGCTCATACCGCGGCCGTGCCGTGAACCACGAGCACAGCCCGCGGCCCCAAAGACACGCCGCGTTCAGCGGGGCGAAACGCACTCGCGAACCGCGAACGATCCAAACTGGACCGTTTCCCAGAACAGCCCCCAATTGCGAACACGCCCACACCAACGGGCGCAGCTGCTTTTGCTCGCAAAGAGTCTCGCGGTAAGCGGAGCTACGTTCGCTACTCCTAGCCAACCAAGTCGCGCAACCCTTGTGGCGCAACTTGAGCCAAAAACAGAAGTGAAACTACTGTACAACATGCAACACGAAAAACTACGGGGCAGACCTAAGCTACATCTAATGGCATACTACAAACCATTATATTAACCATAGATTAACCATTATATTAACCATATATTAACCATATATTAACCATTATATTAACCATAGATTTAACCATTATATTAACCATAGATTAACCATTATATTAACCATTATATTAACCATAGATTAACCATTATATTAACCATAGATTAACCATTATATTAACCATTATATTAACCATATATTAACCATAGATTTAACCATAGATTAACCATTATATTAACCATAGATTAACCATTATATTAACCATAGATTAACCATTATATTAACCATAGATTAACCATTATATTAACCATAGATTAACCATTATATTAACCATTATATTAACCATTATATTAACCATATATTAACCATAGATTAACCATTATATTAACCATATATTAACCATTATATTAACCATAGATTTAACCATAGATT